AGATGTTATCTCACTTAAGACCCTGTGGAGCTACCTTTATCACCCAAGATTACAGCTCAAAGTAGGAACTCATGGTGTAAGGGGTAACATATTACTAACAGGTAAAAGATCAGCTAGCTGACAGGGAGTGCAGCGAAGGTTTACCAGGCTGATTCCAGGGATGGCAGGACTGACGTATGAGATTGACTAGGTTAGGATTGTTTTTGTTGGAGTTCGGACGAATGAGGGGGGGATCTCATAGAGACTTATAAAATTCCAAGAGGACCAGACAGATAGATGCAGGGAGGATGTTCCTGACGGTGAGTGTGTCCAGAACCAGGGGGTCACAGTTTGAGGATTTGGGGTAGACCATTTAGGATGGGGATGAGACATTTCTTCAGCCAAAGAGTGGTGAGCCTGTGGAATTCATTACCACAGGAAGTAGTTGATGCCAAAATATTAAATGTACACGAGCTGCCTAGATATAGCACCTGGGGCGAATAGGGTCAAAGGATATGGGGAGAAAACAGGATTAGGACACTGAGTTGGACAATCCCGCCATGAATGGCGGAGCAGGCTCGAAGGGCTGAATGGCCTCCTTCTATCTTCTGCGTTTGTATGTAACAGAAAGCAATAGTACTCATAAATGGGCCTGTTCATGATAGCCTGAATATGATGAATGGGGACCAGCTGGGATCTCTGCTGAGCTTCAACTCTTTACAATTTGTATCAACGATTTAGATGAGGGAGCAGGGGCATAGTAGCTAAATTTTCAGAATACCTTAAATTTGGGTAGGAATGTTCCTTGTGAATAGATCATAACAGTTGCAGACTGATAGATTGAATGACTGGGCAAAAATCTAGCAGCTGAGTTATGACTACAGACTTCCAAACTGCAGAGGGATCTCGTGAATCAGAAAAATGTCTAGGACTTATAGAATGCTATTCTTTATTGCAAGAGAAATTGAACTTTAAAAGCAACGAAGTTTGGTTTCAGATATTGGTTCAGTTACAGATTATCTCCCGAGGAAAGGTTAGACAAAGTGGTCTTGTTTTCACTGGAACAAAAACAGTGGAACTGTTCTGCGGAAGGGTCACCGGACCCGAAACATTAACTCTGTTTTTTCCTTTACGGACGCTGCAAGACCTGCTGGGCTTTTCCAGCAACTTCTGTTTTTGTTCCTGATTTACAGGATCCACAGTTCTTTCGGTTTTTGTTTTCACTGGAGTTTAGTAGAGTGACGGGTAATTTGATTGAGGTGTATAAGCTCCTGAATAGGTTTGACTAGGTTAGTGTTGAAAGGATGTTTCTCTTATGAGTTAGTCCAGAACTGGGGAGCACTGTTTTAAAATTAGGCGTCACCCTATTAGGACAGAGATGAGAATTTTTGAGTGTTGTGTGCATTTGGATCTATTGATTATTTTTAAGATGGAATAGATAGTCACACAGGACCTGGGGCGGCACAGTGGCTCAGTGGTTAGCACCGCAGCCTCACCCCGCCAGAGACCTGGCCTCGGGCGACTGTCCATGTGGAGTTTGAACGTTCTTGACATGTCTCCATGGGTTTCCCTCGTGCTCACTTCCTCCTACAGTCCAAAGATGTGTAGGGTTATGGAAATACAGTAGGGAGTGGGTCTGGGTGGGATGCTGTTTGGAGGGCCAGTGTGGACTCAATGGGCTGAATGGTCTGCTTCGGCACTGTAGGGATTCTGTGATTCTATAAGACAAGGCGATCAAAGGTTATTGAAGTAGATGGGAATGTGGAAATTAATGCAAAGAAATCCGCCATTAGCTTATTAAAAGCAGAGTAAATTTTAAGGGTCAAATGCCATTCTCCCAATTTGTATGTTTATTCAAGCACCAACATTCCACTTTTCATGTTCTGAGGGTCACCGGACCCGAAACGTTAATGGTTTTTCCCTTCACAGTTGCTGCCAGACCTGCTGAGCTTTTCCAGCAACTTTGTTTTTGTTCCTGATTTACAGCATCCACAGTTCTTTTCGGTTTATATTCCATTTTCCTTCCCTGTTTGCTGTACCTGTATATTAACATCTTGATTCATATACCAGGGCACCTTAATCCCTCTACTGTGGAATTTTTCAATTTATCCCTCCATTTTAAACAATAATACTTGTCCACTTTGGCAGGAGTCTAGACAAGTTCACATTTCCCACGTTAAACTCCATCTGCCAATTTTTTGCCCACTCACTTACCCTATCTATATCCCTTTTCAGACTCATGTCTTCTTGACAACTGAATTTCCTGGCGAACTTTTGAGTCTTCATCAAATTTAACTACCATACCATTCATGTAAGTCATTAATGTAGATGAATTGTTAAAGATACAGCTCTGTTTCCAGTAACGCTCCACTAGATAGCTAACTAATCCGTTACCCATGTCAATGCATTACCCCCACACCATGAGCACTTGTTTTGTGAAGTAACCTTTATTGAACACCATTTCAAGTCACGAGTGCATCACATCTACTTATTCAACTTTATTCATGTTGCTTGTTACTTTCTCAAATAACTAATAGCTAATCTAGCACTATTTCCTGTTCAACAACCACATTGACTCTGCCTAACTGCATTGTGCTTTTCTAAATGTCCTGTTATTACCTCTGTCATGAAGGTTTATGATATTATTATTATTTAGAAACTTGAGTTACAAGCATACAACTTAGAAGAAAGTGTAGACCACTCAGCCCTTCAAGTCTTGTCAGCCATTTAATAAGATCAGGGCTGACCAGATTTTAACATCTAGTCCAAATTCTTGTCTATCCTTAATAGTCTTTGTCTCCATTACTTATGAAGAAGCTATTTACCTCTACCATAAAAATATTCAAAGACCTTGCCTCCATTCCTTTTGAGGAAGAGAGTTCTGAACCCATTCAGCCTTCTGAGAGACAACATAAATGGGAGTGACTGTTTAATAATCTCCCATTTCCAGATTCTTTTACCAGACAGCAAAAGCCCTTTCCAAATCCTCCTCATAAAGTTCCCTCAGGATCGTGTGCGCTTTCATCAATTTCTAAAGTAGAGGTACCATGTATAACTTTAAATCTGCGTATTCTGTATTGTGTTTGATAAGGGGAGACATGGTTTTTGTTTTAGATGTTTTCAGACTGGTGAAGAGGTATCTGAAGTTTACATACATTTTTAATAAACGTTTTCAGCCTAGAGTAGAGCTTGAGATGAGCACTTCAGAGAATTAGGAGTCACAGGTTAGAAGAAAAAAGAACTTTTTATGCTTAGTGACCAGAGTCTAGTATCGCAGAAAGCTAGAACTATCCAAAAGAAGATCAGATGGGTCAAGGAATGGCAGATTGAGTTTAATCTAGACAAATGTGAGGTGCGATGTTTTGGTAGGGCAAATCAGAGCAGGTCTTATACACTTCATAGTAAGGATCTGGGGAGAGTTGCTGAACAAAGAGACCTTGGAGAGCAGGTTCATAGTTCCTTGAAAGTGGAGTCACAGGTAGACAAGGTAGTGAAGAAAGTGTTTAGTATACTTGCCATTATTGGTCAGTGCATTGAATACAGGAGTTGAGAGGTCATGTTCCGGCTGTAGAGGATATTAGTTAGACCACTTTTGGAATACGGTCCTAAATTCTAGTTCCCCTGTTATAGGAAGGATGTTGTGAAACTTGAAAGAGTTTACAAAAGATTTGCAAGGATGTTGCTGGGGTTGGAGGTCGAGGCTGAATAGGCTGGGGCTGAGGGGTGACCTTATAGAAGTTTATGAAGTCTTGAGGGGCAGGATAGGGTAAATAGTCAAGGTCTTTTCTCTAGGGTCAGGGAGTCCAAAACTAGAGGGCATAGGTTCAAGGTGGGAGGGAAGAAGATTTAAAAGGGACCTAAGAAACAACATTTTCTCACAGAGGGTGGTGCGTGTATGAATGAACTGCCAAAGGAAGTGGTGGAGGCTGGTATAATTACAACATTTTTAAAAGGTATCTGGATGGGTATATGAATAAGAACAGTTTAGAGGGATTTGGGCCAAATGCTAGCAAACAGTCTAGATTAGGATATCTGGTCACCATGGATGAGTTGGACCGAAGGATCTGTTTCCATGCTGTACATCTCTGACTCCAAGAGGCATTGTGTGCAGATTAAGTCCGACCAAAATGGTGGTTAGCTTAACTGTTTTCAAACATTCAAGCTGTTGGAAAAAATCCTGACTACAATAAAAGAAAATTATCCAGAAAAAGAGTCAACGATTCAGTGCCTATCGGTATTAGATAATGGAAGTTAAAGTGCTAAGCTGGTAAGAAGACTGGTCAGAGAACTGCTAGAAGCTGAGGATATGAGAAACCCATGTTTTCTCTGAAGGGCTTGAAAGTCAGAAAAGACCTCCAGACAGAAACCAACTGAATACCAAATATGAAAGTGGAGACAAAATGACCATTGATTGAGATTGAGTGTCTGTAAGATTGCTGTTGAGGGTAAAAATATTGAATCTTTATTCCTGATATTTGTAGTTAAGACTATTTCACCTATTTGTGTAATAAAGCTGTTTTGTAACTTGTTGAAATAGTTTTGTGAATGCATTCAGTGACTGACCACCATAGCAAACAAGTTGTGCAAATAAAACTTGTGATCTATCGTGCTAGATTTCAGTTTGAGATCTGACTTATCCAGTATTCCACCAGCTGAGATGATAATATTTCTTTGATATTACATTGTAGAATTTTCCCCATGTTGGATGTTCGGCTAACTGGCCTATAGCTTCCTGCATTCTGTTTCCTTGCATATTTGATGTTTTCCAAACTGTTAGAACCTTATACAAAGTGAGAGCAAGCTTCAGTAATTTGCTCTTTTAAACACATGGTTAGACTGTACTTCTAGTCTTAATCCCTTTCTAATACTCAAAACCATTTGGACTTTTTGACTTTTAATATTTTTATTTGAAATAGCAGTTTGAAAGTTGAATGTTATTTTTAGTTTGAGACATGTTTTTTCTTTAACCTCAGAAACTATTGTCTCTTAATTCTAAGTATTATACCTTTTTTTTATTTCAGAACTCCATGGAATAAGAAATCAATCTACTGTAGGTTTTCTGACATTAATGGAATCTTTACGCTATTGCAAGGTAAGCGCTTGGAACTTGCTAGATTGCAGTGCAGAAGTAATTTTGGCACAATTGCAAATTATTGCTATTTTTTTAAAGCAAACTTTTTTTAAGCACACAGCACTAATGAAACGCTGAAGAATTCCTTTGTTATATTCTGTCAGACCTGATCTAATAACTTTGTGGTGTCATCAGTAATTCTAATCTGGTATTTATTGCTTACAAAGTGGTCTCCACATTGGCAAAACCAACACAGGCTGGGTGACCAGAAATCCAAACCTACATTACGTGCCAATTTTAACTTTTTGCTTTGTGCTGATGGTAATACAAAATCAATTCTTAAGAACACTTGATCATTTTTTTAAAAAAAAGTATAGGTGAAGAACTATTCTGTATAAACCTCATTTGAATGTCAACTTGTGTAACACTTGCATTCAATTCAAAATATAAAAGCTGTTGATGCAAAAACAGTTCAAAAGCTCAATCGTTGGAAGATTCTGGAATTTCCAATTCTTAAAAACGCCACTGAAGTATGAAATTTTATAGCAGTTTTTGTATTCATTTAAGGGATGTGAGCTTTGTTGGATGGGCCAGCATTTGTTGCCTGTCGCTAACTGACCTTTAGAACATAGTGGTGAGAGTTTGCAGCTTGGCCTCTGTCCACTCAAGCAAGCATTGTCTCCAACCTTCGACTTGACAATAGGTTGGGTGGTCTTCTTTCTGGTCTGGGGGCAATGTATGTTGACCAGTTTCCTGTTTGTCCTGTAGCTTAGCTTCATTCGAGTGGGAATCTTCACTGATATGTTGCAGTAAGGAAGATGGAGAAGAGTGCTAGTACAATGATGCAGTCTTGCTTGACCTCAGTTTGCATATTCTAGGCCTGTGGTGGATCCATTGGTGAAGATGTGGTCTAGCAGTGATTTACTTGTACTTTCAGTCTAGTCTACAGTATGTATTGCTTACGAAGTGGTCTCCACATTGGCAAAACCAACACAGACTGGGTGACCATTTTGTGGAGCATCTCTGCTCTGTAACAGCAATCTTGACCTTCCTTCCAGCTGTTTCCATTTCAATACACTATTTTCCCCTCGTGATGACATTTCTGTCCTGTGCCTGCTGCAGTGTTCCACCAAAGCTCAGCATATGCTGAGGGGACAACATTTCATTTTCCACTTAGGCACTGTACAGTCTTCAAGACTCAACATTGATCTCACAACCTCAGACCATGAGCTCTGTCCTCTGTTTTTATTCATACCAGTGCTTTGTTTGCATGGATTTGCTGTCAACAAAAATGACCCTGTGTTTTCAATTATTAACGCCTACCATTAACACTTATTCTTTCTATTTACCATGTCTACTAGATTAGCAGAGCCTTTGTCTTTGATCTGGGTGCCCTCACCATCTGTTTCATTTGCTGCTTCTCCCACTTTGTCAACTGCATAAAGAGCATCAGTTTCCCTTTTTGATTTTGAAAAAGTTATATTGGAGTTGAAACATTTAATGTTATTTGTTTCTTAACATGTTACAAGACTATGGACTTTCTCCAGCACTTTCATTTGATTGGAATAGAACTCCTCTTTCACCTAATCTGTTGCTTCTCAGGCTCAAGTGTATGCTGTAATAACTGATGCATTGTTTCTGGGTTAGGTTGAACCGAAGGGTTATTACACAAATTATCGAAAGAACTTCATCCCTCAGCATTATTTGGAATGCATTCTGAGCAGATACTTGTAGCAGTGGTTCAAAAATACTGCTACCTTTTTATTTTGGGCCTGTTTTCAAAAATCTATCAATGGAGGGGGAGAGACCATTTTCTATAAATCTGTGCCTATCTGTGCTTTTTATAATCAAAGCAATCATCGTCCAGTGCCTGCTGATGGTTAAGAAAGAGCGCTGTTAATTTCCAACACCTAAGAGCACCTGCAAGAAACTTGAAACCATCCAGGACAAACAGTCTGCTTGATTAGCTCCCCAGCTACCAATTTAAATGATCACAATCTCTGCTATCTACCATAGTAGCAGTGTGTACTGCCTACAGGACTGCTTCTAACATCGTGGCCTCTGCCACCTAGAAGGACATGGTCAGCAGATGCATGGGAACACTATCACATGCAAGTTCCCCTCTATGCCACACTCTATCCTGACTGATCCATCCTGCCATTTTTTTCACTGTCATTTAGTTAAAACTCCTGGATCTCCCTTCCCAGCAGCACTGTGGATCTATCCAACTCCCATGGACTGCAGTGGTTCAAGAAAGAGGCTTACTGTCTTCTTTTCCAAGTCAATTAAGGATAGATAATAAGTGCTGGCATAGTCAGCAATACCCACATCCCATGAGTGAACTAAAAAGAAAGGGACGGTCACTGCCTACCATCATTCTCAGGTAGTTATTTTTTACATGATCAAGTTGAGTTTGGGTAGCATGGAGAGAGAAGAGACAAAATCCGATTTCAGAGTATCTAGTCTCTTACTACTTGTTTTGGAAATTTGATTAGGAATGAGAGATTAAGATAAAAACAGATGAACGTAAATAGGAGCAGGAGTAGATAAAGACAGTGATGTGTATTATAGCATCGTAAAAAGAGATGGTAAAAATGTGGAAAGTTTTTAAAAATTGTAGTGCTAGTAAGAAATAGAGAAGTACTAGAGACTGAGGCAAGAAGTTGGGAGGAAGCCAATTAGAGTAATGTTATCTCCACAGCTTGATTCCAGATAAAGCTACTAATTAACACTTGACTTACCATGTCACACTATAGTACCTATCCGTCCACCCTGGAAAAAACAGCAAATGATAACAAAAAAGCAAGCAGCTAGCATGAAAGCAGTTGAAGACAGGACAGATGAAGGAAAACACCAACCAGATGCCACAGACCAATAACTGCATTCTCAGACTTGTCATGCCATGTTTAATAAATGGGTGATCAATTAATTACATAAAATTGGCTATGGTGGGATTAATGGCATACTTATCTCTTTGTCAGATGCAAGTGTTCCTACAGGTACTAATTAGACATTTTATGTTTGACTTCTGAATGTTGGAACTATTTTTTTCTGCTGAAAACTAGTTTGACCAGATTTAACTGTACAATAGAACTGAGGTGCATTTATTGTCAAGTTCAACAATTAGAAATGGGCTGTTTTATTGAAGGTTTGTATTATTAACTTTTAATTGCTTGCAGCCAATGTAAAGTGTCAGGTAACTTGAGCTATAAAAAGTTGATTATGCAGCTGCTATTTCATCAGTATAAGTCTTTTTATAGTGTTAAATGTACCTATGTTAGCTTTTAACATTCTGCAATTGAATTTTAGGTTGGAGCATTCCTGAAGTCTCCTAAATTTCCTGTTTGGATACTTGGCAGTGAAACTCATCTAACTGTATTCTTTGCAAAGGTAACTTGGACTGCTCTGATTAGAGAAATGCTGCTTTCCCTGAAGTCCCGCACTTTACATGTCCTCCTTTCTCAAATTTGCTTATCTGTGCAAAATAGGTGTACCTTTTTCACCCATTGCAAATCTAATCTTTGTCTCTAAAACTGTTGGTAGGCAAAAGAATAATAAACTTTATTTCTAGAATAGAAAGTGCACACTCCACATGTGTCTCATACTGAGCATGCATAGTTTGCATGGATTGTTGTTTGCAAAATTGACAATTTAGAAAGTTTTGAGGAATGTAACGGGTGTAAGTGGTTGAACTTTATGTTCCAAATACTTTGAGCACCAGATTTCACTTTTTCTGGATGCAGTGTACTGTGATAAAGCAATAGCATTTACAATTTTGGATGTTTGGAACGAAGTATGAATAGCGAGGTGAATTATTTTGTGGCTTATTTCCTTGTGGAGATGTCACTGAAAAGAGCAAACATTGAATGTAGTTAATCTTGGAAACATTACCTTAAGCAGAAACTGGGATTTTTCTTTCCAAAAGTACCATTTCCATTTTGTTTCTTCTTTTATCGGATATGGGTGGATGTGGTGTGTGTTTAACTTAATTACCATCACTTGTTGCCTGGTGAAGGTATCGATGACTTACCATTCAGAATTGCTGCTTCCTAATGTCATTTGATAAGAAATTTGAGGATTCTAATCCACCAGTGACCATTTAGTATAGGTCCAAATCAGAATGATGCATGACTTGGGAGGGAAACTTGCAGAGGTGGTTGCTAAAATATTGCTCCTGTTGTCCAATTTGATGGTTACAATCATTGGGTTGTGAGGGGCTGTTAGGGACAAGAAAATATTACGATCCTGGAGACTAGTTTTTATTCTTTGAAATCTGAAAAGCTATGTATTTACTAGAAGAATGAAATAAAAACTAAAGAACTTTATAGGACACAATCAAAGCACATGCATATTAATAATTGCATTCTATCTTACATAATTATTCAACCATGTGAACAGAGGGGCTATTTAAGCTGAAGTTGGTTGTCCCCTGAAGCTGCTCAGTGTGGTTGCTTTCCACAGCAGAAAGAGGAGTAAGGTCAGCTATGACAGGGCAACATTGGAATCCTCTGTGACTCTCAGTAGAGTCAACAGGGCGTGTTCTAATGCCAACACTCTTCTCTTTGCTGATTTGAGTGGACGTGCTCTGGAGATGAACTGGAGTAGCCAAACTGCTAGAAAGCTGCTCAGCTATGTTCAACTGAGACCAAAGACAAATGATGCTCGACATCATCATTTCGCATCCTGTTCCATAGAGGAGCACCAGACTCTTACAGGCCTACAAAGAGTTTAGTTTAATCGTGAACTTCAGGAAAACAAATGTCATGGCCTAAAATGTTGTCATGTCGCTATCAATCAACAATGTGGTTGCTTGGAATTGTAGAGGTTCACTATGTGCAACTATCTTTCACTTAATGCTGGTGACACAGTAAAGAGGTGAGAACTGTTATGTCCAAGCAGAATACAGATGTAGAACAACACCAACCCAACAGAACGTCAAACTGCAAGTCTACCAACCTTACATCCTCAGTACACCCTATATAATGAGACCCGACCAAGATGCTGAAAAAAGGAAAGACTGAACAGTTTCCATCTTCGCTGTCTCAGATGTGTCCTTGGAATCTCTTGGTAGGTTAGTTCACCAACTCAGAGGCCTATGGCATGGAAATTCCATCAGCGTAATTTAATTACTAAATGAATAAGATCTCTGCCAGCTTGGCCATGTTCATCAGGTGGGTGACAGACACATACCAACTTATTTTCTGTACAGTGAACTGGCCACTGGGACACAACCTACTGGCTGTCCGTGCCTTCGCTACAAGTATACCAAGTGAGATGTAAAGATGTGGGACATGTCCCTGACAAGAGAGGCAGCCCCTGACTGGTCATCCCTGTGGAGGCTGACTAACTAGAGGAGCATTAGAAGAAATTAGACAAAACAGAAAGCTAAGTTGGTCAAAAGAAGAGCCCAGAGAAAATAGAGATCAACAAGTCATGCACTTCTTCCTCGGTAGCAAATAGGTCAGACTGTCATGTAAGAGTGGAACTCGAAGACTGCCAGATATAACAGAGCTGACTACAAAGATGCAGACTATTATCTTGATAAAAAGCTGCCAAAGAAGGATGGTCTGGACGATACTTGGTACTGCAGTATAAATAGTATGTTCTGAGGTGATGTTAATCACCAAGTTTAATATCTGTGATTCTATTAATAGGTATATTTTCCACATGGATGATAAGTTTCGTAGCTCAGAACATTTAGTTCCAGAGGTTCTATGACTGAAGCCAAGGTCCTGTCAAGTTTGCAGTGCTATGTCCCTCTATTTTGTTATGTTATGATTTGCACATTTCTTTCTCAACCCTCTAAAACTTGATCTCTCGTACTTCTCAGTACATTTCCCTTCCAATGTTTTCTTCACTGTCTTTTGCTTGAAGATTCATGTGTACTATGAAGTATCTCTCCAAACCACCCCATCTCCCCGGCTCTCCCATTTGAGCTTACCTTTTTGTTCAGTGTTGGTATTTTTGATTCTTCTCTGTTGGACCTATAATTTGTGTAGCTCATTGTCTGTCTTCAAAACACTATAAAGCATTTATCAACTTTTCAGTTAGTGTTGAAATATAGCCACTATGGCATAAAAAATCCTAAGCAACACCTTGTGCGTAGCAAAGCAAGGCAAATGATAATGCAGTAACTGGCTAGCTAATCTCTCCTCCTGTCTTGAAATCTTGAATGGCAGTTTGGAGCAAATGGTTCTCTTCAGAATCTTTGTAAAGCTCTGGCTAGGTCACAACGGAATTATTTCATTTAGTTCTGGTTGCAATACTTTAGGAAGTAAGTGAGGATCAGGAATACCCCAAATGATATTTCTGAAAATGATTCCAGGGATAAGGGCTTTTAGTTTCGAGAATGAAGATGAGGTAGTTGAGGTTTGAAGTCACACTTAGAAGGAAGCAGACCAAAGATATTTTAATCTTTGTCATGGCTGCTGCAGAAAAGTTGTTTGCCCTCCATTGATAAAGTCCTCTTTTTTTTTTATCTTTATCACCTGCTTCACTTCACTTAGTTCAGTACTACTGTTGTGTTACTTGTGGTTTACACTCTATATTGGTATCCAGAACGATAAAGTCTATTAGTAAAATTTCGATCCTATTTTGTTACTGTAATATCTCTATCCTAACCATTCTGTCGCCACAACACCTGGTCTCCAAGAGTAGATCACTGCCATTTCCTTTTTCTGTGGTACTATTACCCTGTAGCTGTACATGTGACAAACATTCGGAAGCTTTTATGCTTCTGTATAATGGGTAGTAAAATGTTTATTTTTCACGTTTGTGTTATGATCCCAGCTAATGTTATTGCTGGACAAGTCGCATCCCAGACTGAAATCAGGCTTGACAGATGATGCATTGGCAGTTCCTACTATCTCTCACCCTTGACAGATGATGTTTTAATTCGGTAAATTGGTCTTTTACTGAAATGGAAGCAGTTCAGCAATTTTTTTTTAAAAACAAGAAGCATGAGAAATGAAGATAGAATAAACCAGACAATTTACATATAACATATTTCAAGATCTTCAACATGTGAAATATAATCCTGTTAATTTCAGAAGCACCCCTTGACAAAGCTCGCACCAGCAAATCCCTTTCTGTAACATTTTGATGTGTTCAATTTGACTTCAGCTCTGAGTCTATAAAATCTGATGGGTTCTTCTGTAAGCTTTCTTACATCCGAGCTCAAATGTTCTAGCCTCAAGTAATCTCTTCATGGTTTACCCACATAGTCCCAAAATGGAGCTGTCAGAAAATTCTTACTCTAACATAATGTATCCTCCTGGTTTCCAGAGCATCTTTACATATGAGGCCACCTTCAAAACTGCCCAAAATTGGAAGTAAGACTGAAAAGGTTACTGTCTAAGCTATGGGTGTTTCACTTAAGCTTAAAAAAAGTTCAGAAATTTCTAGCAGAATTCTTGAGGCACAATTGCTTACATTGCTAAAAAGCATGCCATGGCCGCAGAAACACTCAAGTTAATTATTGTTTCCTTCAGACATGCAGAAAAACCCATGTCACAACTTCAAAATCCATCAACCTAACACGATGTAGAATATATACGTAGATAAATCTCACCTTCTTCATTACACCAGTAACTTAGCTCAAATGAGTTTACAGGGAGCTCCTTATCGCTTGTCTGCTGTTCTGGATACTCATTGATACAAGAGTTCTTATCATTCAGTTCCTCAAGGAAATCCAATCTCCACTTCACTGTTATTAAAAAAAATGAAGTTAAAGTAGTAAGTATTTGCAATGTCAAGACATGATTTTATCCGCACAATGATGCGTAGTGGTTGCTGTGACCGATGCAGTCATGGACGGACACACCTGTAAAAGGTAGTGTACAACGTGGAGTCATCAGTTCTGTTGGTGTGATACTTGGTAATCAGTAGGAAGCCTCCTGGTCCATAACAAAAACAGAAATTGCTGGAGAAACTCAGGCCTAGCAGCATCTGTGGAGAGAAAGCGGAGTTAAGCAGGTTGGGGGAGCTAGGGCTTTTTTCATTGGAGCAAAGAAGGATGAGAGGTGACCTGATAGAGGTGTACAAGATGATGAGAGGCATAAATAGACTGGATAGCCAGAGACTTTTTTTCCCAGGGTTGAAATTACTATTACGAGGGGGCATAATTTTAAGGTGATTGGAGGAGGGTATAGGGGAGATGTCAGAGGTGGGTTCTTCACACAGAGTGGTGAGCGTGTGGAATGCGCTGCCGACAGTGGTAGTGGTGTCAGATACTTTAGAGACTTCCAAGTGACTCTTGGATAGGCACATGGAGGATAGTAAAATATAGGGTATGTGGGGTAGATTGATCTTAGTAGGATAATAGGTCGGCACAACATTGTCGGCCGAAGGGCCTGTACTGTGCTGTACTGTTCTATGTTCTATGTTTAATG